ATTAAAACTGAGATCACTTATGATGTGTGAAATACCATTTTAACATCCATGAATATGAGAGAGAGAACAATAGGTAATTACCATAGACAATTCAGAGTCTTGTCTTACACTTGATTCATTGAGTAGCTCAGATGATTATCTGCTCCCTACACCCAAGGGGTCCTTATGTGTAATAATAGCTAAGTTGACTGTTTACTATTTTACACATACATATTATCTCTAATTTTCAAGGAAGTTCACTGAGGTAGGCATTTGTCATAGGTAAAATTTTCAAGATGGCCCCCAAAGATGTCATCATCCCTGGAACCTGAGCATATGATGAGATTTCACCCAGGTGATTATATTTTGTTATATGGCGCAGCTGACCTTAAGAAAGGGAGATTATCTGGATGGGGCCTGATCTAAACACAGGAGTCCCGAAAAGCAGAGAGTCCTTAAATGGCTGAGAGCAGAAGTCAGAGACACTCCAAGTGTGAGAAGGACTTGATGTGTAGTTGCCGGTTTGAAGATGGAGGGGCCACCGGAGGCTGAATGTGGGCAGCCTTAAAGAGCTGAGAGAGGCACCCCCTGACAGCCAGCAAGGAGACAGGGGCCTCAGTCCTACAACTGCAAGGAACTGAATTCTGCCAATAACAGGAATGTGCTTAGGAGAGGAGGCGAAGCTCTAGGCGAGAACACAGTCCACCCACACCGTGATTTCAGCCTGGGAGACTGTGAGCAGAGAACCCAGCTACACCATCCGGGACTTCTAACCTACAGAGCTGTGAGATCATAAATAGGTGTTGTTCCAGTTCTCTAGTTGGGTGTTAATTTGTTACGCAGCAGTAGAAAACTAACACAGCATTACTATCCTCCTTCTACGGAGGAGGAGACTGAGGCTCAAAGAAGTTAAGTAAATTGGTTAAAACTATCTCGTGACTGTGGTGACGGCAGGATTTGACTTAGCCCTGACTTCAGAGCCAGTTCCCCTTCTCCCTCACTGCCCATAGCAGGGGAGCAGACGGTCCTGCCCATGCTGCTGCTAAGTGATGTGTTGGCCGACCAGGAGCTACCGGGTAAAAAAGAATAAAGCTCTCTCTGACTGAGAAAGGATGACTCAGATTCTTACTTATTTTTAGAAACCAACATGAAACTATTGGCTGAGCAATGGCTTGGGTTTCTGCAGTGATCTTGATCCGAGGGAGCAGCCCCCAGTATCTGCTCTGAGGTGTATTAGCTGGTCTCCTTTTTAGCCACAAGCGCTAGGTGACTGATTTCCAAACAAGTGAAGCTGAATGGATTTAGACAGATTAACATTCTAACAGCAAGAAGCAGTTAGGGGAAGAAAAAGCAAATCCTGTGGCGCTTCTTAGCATACTGAAACACACACGCAAACGCATTCCATAAAACCCCTCTCTCCAAGGCCTAGCTTTGTAAATATTAGCTTTACAAAGATATGTCAATTTAAAAAGGAGGCGCTTTGAAGAGTAGTTACCATCAGGATCCGATGTGACCCAGCTCCCTGTGTGACCTTTCCTTCCTCTTTCCGGCTTACTCCCCCCCAACCACAGGGCTCCTGGGCATTCCCTTGATATGCCAAGCCCTGTGCTGCCTCAGGGCCATTGCACAGCTGTTACCCGTGCCCTGGAACATCCTTCTTTTAGTTCCTTCCTCTAATTCACTCAGATCACTGCTTGAGTGGCATCTTACTGGAGTGTCTTTCCCTGACCATCTTATTTAAAGCAGCTCATTTAGGGGCCAACCCTGTGGCCGTGGCCTAGTGGTTAAGTGCATGCGTTCTGCTGCTGGTAGCCCGGGGTTTGGATCCCGGGCGCGCACTGACGCACTGCTTGTCCGGCCATGCTGTGGCAGCGTCCCATATAAAGTGGAGGAAGATGGGCACGGATGTTAGCCCAGGGCCAGTCTTCCTCAGCAAAAAAAGGAGGATTGGCGTGGATGTTAGCTCAGGGCTGATCTTCCTCACAAAAAAAATAAATAGATAAAAATAAAGGATCTACCTTTAAAAAAAAATAAATAAATAAAGCAGCTTATTTAAAGCCCGCCTGTCACTCTCTCCCTACCCTGCTTTATTTTTCTTCATAACATTTCGACCACCTAATAGGCCTTATACATAAGAATATATTTATTTGTTTGTTATCATCTGTTTCCCACACTAGCATGTAAGCTCTAGGAGGACAGAGAGGCTGTGTTTCCTTTATTCTTTGCTGTATCCCCAGTGTCCAAAACAATTCATGGCACACAGCAGGGACTCAAATATTTGTTGAATGAATTAATGAATCAGGAACAACAGCATCGCATCTGTTTAAATAATTTGTCACTCCTGAGGTATCCCTGCATCCAATTTTTTTTTCTCTTTTTTTATAGCATTTGATAACCTGTTCAATATGGAAAAGATACTTGATTGCATAGTTATACAAAGTCCAGGATAAAAAAGATTAAACACTAGAGACAGTGTGGTGTAGGATGAAGTCCTTCCTTGCCTTGCAATAGTTGTGTGACTGTGGAAAAGTCATTTATTTCTCTTGGCCTCAAGTGTGTTATCTTTTCAACGGTAATGGTGGAGTCTTACTGGAAGGGGCTAAAGCAAATGGGGTCTGGAGGTTTCTTCCTACACTAAGATCCTTTGAAATTAGAATTCCGTTGATAGGGAATCAGGAAATATCGGGTTTAGCCCTGCCTGTGTTAAATGTAAACAGAGTGTGTAATTTAGGGCAAGTCCTTTAACCTTTCTAGGCCTCCAGAGAAACCAAAATTTCTTTGAGGTCCCTTTGAGGTCAGATCTCAGTCGTTGGCAGGGGTGGGGGTGGGGGAGAGCTGGGTTGGCCAGATGTTCTGGTGTTTGCAAGACCTTGATCTCTGTCCCTGCAGGGTCTGGGTCCACCTGTTGTTTGGTGGGGGTGAGACTCAAGGCTAAAAAGTTGGTTCAGTAAATATTTTCTGAGCGCTTGCCATGTGTTATATGCTGGGGGTACCACAGTGAGCACTGCAGGCATGGTTCCTGCCCTCTTACATTCTAATGTTAGGAAACAGACGACAAACAGGTAAATGGAAAAAGAATCAAGACTAATGAAAAGGGCTAGGAAGGATGTAGAAGAATACTCTAATAGTAGAGAATAGCAGATAGGAACTATTGAGTTAACTTGGGTCAGGGAGGGCCTTTCTGGGGCATTTAAGCTGAGCCTCAAAGGATGAGAAAAATCCAGCCATGGGAGGAGCATTAGAGGCCAAGGGAAGGGCAAGCACAATCATCAAGGCCGTGAGAATGGAAAAGGTCGGGACGTTCTAGGACCTGACAAAGGGCAGTGTGCAAAAAGCGTAGCGATTAAGGGGACAGTGGCAAGAGATGAGGCCGTGAGGCAGGTTGGGGTCCTTCATGTGAGTGAGGCCTCACAGGCCATGGTTAGGGTGACCAGTTGTCCCCATTTGCCCAGAACTGCGGAGTTTCCTGGGGTGGGTGCGGGACTTTCAGTGCTTAAATCAGGAAGATCTGGGCGACTCAGGATGAGATGATCACCCTAGCCATGGTAGGGAGTTGTACTTTATCCTGTCTGCAATAGGTAGTCACTGCAGGGTTTTAAGCAGGGAAACGATATGTCTTGATTTCTGTTTTCAGAGGTCACTCTTGGCTTTTATGTGACAAATGCATTGGAGAGGAGCAAGATGAAAAAGGATGAGGCCAATTAGCCAGTTATTGCAATCGTCCACGTAAGAGAGGATTGCGGGTTGAAATAGACTGGCGGCATTGAAGATGGAGAGATGTGGATGGATATAAGATACTTTTTGGAGGTAGAATGAACAGGACTTGCAAATGTATGTAGTGAAGGAAAAGGAGTCAAAGGTGAGTCCTGGGCTTCTGGTTTTAATAAGTAGGTAATGAGTTTTGTCAACAGAGGGAAATCTGAGAAGGACTGGATGTGGAAGTTGGAGGAAGACAGGGATGGAGGTATTGAGAGTTCCACTGGGAAGAAAATGTGATACTCAGAGTGAAGACAATCTTGTTAATGTTCAGGGCCGGCCCGTGGCTTAGCGGTTAAGTGCGCGCGCTCCACTGCTGGCGGCCCGGGTTCGGATCCCGGGCGCGCACTGACTCACCGCTTCTCTGGCCATGCTGAGGCCACGTCCCACATGCAGCAACTAGAAGGATGTGCAGCTATGACATACAGCTATCTACTGGGGCTTTGGAGGAAAATAAATAAAATTATTAAAAAAAAAAAATGTTCACAGTGTCTTGTAAGCAGTGGCTAATTAGTTCTCATAACAGTCGTTCTGAGTTGTTAATTACCCGAACCCCATTTTACAGGCTCTGGAGAAGAGCAGGTGTCAGTAATTTGCCTAAGGCTAGAGTAAATTATAGAACTAACAGCAGCACCAATTAATTCCTGGTAGTCCTCTTCTCCACCAGTCTTTTAAAAGAGTAACTCTTTTGGTTAGGATGCGTAAGTCGAATGGCATTTTGGGAGAGCAAGGCATAGATTTTGAGGTCAATGGACCTGGAGTCACATTTTGGCTTTGCCCCTTTTTACTTATGTGACATGGACACACATATAATAATAATATCCCTGACCCTTCAGTTTCCTAAGAAATAATACTTACAGAGTCAAATACTAAACATGTCCTTATTCTCTGCTGTATTCTCTGCCTAGAAAAAGTTTTGCCCAGAAAACCAACTGTCATGATATTAGAGAGACCTTCTCTGATCATTCTATGATAAATTAGCAGCACCCCCACCCAAAGGCACTCTCCCCCTGCTTTAGCCTGGTGTGATTTCTCTTTACAGCACTTATTACCGTCTGACCAATTATACATCCATTTCCTTAAGATCTGGGATTTTGTCTGTTTTGTTCCCTGCTGTATCCCCAGAGTCTACAATGATGCCTGGCCCAAGTGAGTGCTCAATAATATATGTTGAATGAGTGAATAAATTTAAATGAAATTATTCATATAATAAAATCCTTTGCACAATATCTGCCGCGATAGGAACTCAATAAATGTTGTTGTTAGTGCCATCGAGTACATTCCAGCTCCTAGTGACCCTGGGTACAGCAGAGTGGAACCCTGCCTGGTCTTTTTGCACCATCTTTTCATCTTCTGGTGCCGTAGCAGCCAATGCTCCTCTGCTATTCATAGGGTTTTCACGGCCAATTTTTTCAGAAGTGGGTGACAAGGTCCTTCTTCCTAATCTGTCTTAGTCTGGAAGTTCTGCTGAAACCTGTCCACCATGGGTGACCCTGCTGGTATTTGAAAGACCAGTGGCATAGCTTTCAGCATCACAGCAACATGCAGCCGCCACAGTATGACAACTGACAGATGGGTGGTATGGTTCCCTGACCAGGAAATGAACCCTGGGCTGCTGTGGTGAGAGCGCCAAGTCTTAACCACTAGACCACCACAATAATTGTTAGCAGTTACTATATCAGAAGAGGAATTGGGAAACATATTTAATTTTATATATTCCTTGTCTAAGAAACTATTTTAACAGTATTTCTTTGTATATTTAGTTTAAAAATAAATCTTTAGGTTATTCTTGAAAAAGTATTTACCAGTTTTGTACTTCATTTAATTCACGTAGAGAAAGACAGTCTTTACTATTCTGTGGTGATTCTCATGATCATTTTGTGGATTACAGTTATGTGGTCATGAGAACAAACCACTTAATGCACAAACTTATAAACAGTATGTGCATGAGCAAACCCACTGAAGGTTCAAAAGGATGCTACCGCCACTTAGACAGGGATGGAAACTTTATTTTAAACAACTGAGATGAAAATTGACTTATAGATGCTTTGCCATCTCTCAGACATCCCAGGGAAGAATGGAAAAGCTACAAGTAAGTTTTTCTCTGTAAAAGTACTCAAATTCTCAGTAGTAATTTTATTATAAAACATTCATTCTTCATTTCTATAATCTAGTAATATGGGTCTTACCATTCTTATTATCTTTCTTTTAACCTCATCTCCTTTATTTATTTATTTTTTAAATTTTATTTATTAATTTCCCCCCAAAGCCCCAGTAGATAGTTGTATGTCATAGTTGCACATCCTTCTAGTTGCTGTATGTGGGACGTGGCCTCAGCATGGCCGGAGAAGCGGTGCGTCAGTGCGCGCCCGGGATCCGAACCCCGGGCCGCCAGCAGCTGAGCGCGCGCACTTAACCGCTAAGCCACGGGGCCGGCCCGCATCATCTCCTTTAAATATTTACTCAGATGCCACGCTATAGGTGAGGCCTACTCTGCACACCCTCCAGCCCCCAGCAACCCTGGTCTCCTTACCCTCTCTGCTTTTTTAAACCACAGCACTTGCCACCTTAAAGCTATTACATAATTTACTTATTTATTATGTTTATTGTCTGTATCCCTCCAATTAAAATGTAAGCTTCACAAGGGCAGGAATTTTTATCTATTTTGTTCACCTGTCTATCCCCAGGGCCTAGAACATAGTCTGTCACCTCATAGATGAATGAATGAAACACACACTCCAAGACTAAACAAAATATAAGGTTGTTGGAAATTAGGGCGACGAGACAGAAACTGCAGTCTCTGGTCTCAGGTCGCATCAGATGGATGTAATAGCATAACCCCTGCGCGATGCCCATGTGACTTCCAACCATGACATCAGCCAAGGCTGTCACTGTCTTGGTCTCCTCCGATGTGTCTTTCCTGTTTCTCCCCTACACTCCCCAGCACCACTCATTACTTGGTCACCTGCCCTCAGCTCAGTTGTTTTCCTGGCCACTCCCATTTTTTAACTGTCTCTTTCCCCATCTTCCTGATTTTCCATCTTCCTTCCCTCACTAAGAATAAAAGAATAAACAAATGAATGAAGCAATCAATCAATTAATCAGTCAACAAACATTTGCTGAATATCTGCTATATATTTAGCACGAGCAGGCATACAGTATATCCTAGTGGTTGAGCCAGCAGCTTTGTGGCTGGACAGATTTTGGCTGGAATCCTGGCTTTGCCTCTTACTAGCTGAAGGGACGGTCCTTAACTCCAGTTTCCTCATCTGTGAAATGGGGATAATAATAGTGTGTGCCTCAGAGGCTGTTCTGAGGAATGGGTGAGATAATATGAAATACTTAGAATATTGGCAGACACAAATTAAGTGGTCCATAAATATTAGCTCTTAAGATTCTGTCCTAGGGCTCTGTGGAGAATAGGCTATATGTCTAAGACTTGATTCTTATCTCCACAGAACTTCCCAACCCATAAGTCAATTAGAAAACAATCCAGGGCTGGATATATGACCCAGTGCTCATTTGTGTAGTTTAGATTGTATAGAGGTAGTGGTGTTGAAAGGCATAAAAAGGGAAAAAAAGCAAATACCAGAAATACTGATTTGTAGTATATTTAAGAGGCAGATAGTATATATTATTAGATTTGTGGTATGTTAAAAAAACACTTTATATATAGTATATTTAAAATATATATATTAGATTGATAGTATATTTAAGAGGAATAAAAAGATATGAATCACAAGAGTTATTAGCCTATTGAGGAGCAGTGCATTGTAGCAGTCAAGAACTCGGTATCCTGAAGCCACATTGCCCGGTTCAAATCCCAGCTCTACACTTATTAGCTGCGTGACTTTGGTCAAGTCATTTAGTCTCTGTGCCTGTTTTCTCATCTGTAAAATGGAGGTGATAATAATGGTAACTATATCATAGGATTGTTATGAAAATTAGATCAATTAACATATGCAAAGTACTGAGAACAGTGCCTAGCATAATGGCAAGTACCCAAGTGTTAGCTACTACTATCCCACATTTATTCTTTCTTTCTCTCTCTAAGTCTTTTCTAGAGAAGAATAGTTTAAAATGCCATAATTAGATTCTCCCATTATTTACTCCTAATATAAAGAATGTGTTTCTTTGGGGCCGGCCCCGTGGCTTGGTGGTTAAGTGAGCGCGCTCCACTGCTGGCGACCCGGGTTCGGATCCCGGGCTCGCACCGACGCGCTGCTTCTCCGGCCATGCTGAGGCCGCGTCCCACATGCAGCAACTAGAAGGATGTGCAGCTGTGACACACAACTATCTACTGGGGCTTTGGGGGGAAAAAATAAATAAATAAAATCTTTAAAAAAAAAAAAGAATGTGTTTCTTAAACTTGAGTTACTTATAAATGTTGGTAACAAATAAAACAAAAACTTATACCGTGTGTGTGAAGATAGTATGGGCTTGATCACATATCAAAGGGGAGAGCTATTACATTGCCTCAAACGCCGAAAATATTAAGCTCTGAAATTTTGCATTTATAATATTACTCTTCTTCCATGTAGATTTTTCAAGATCTTTCATTGGCTTAATTTTTTTCCACCCAAAGAATTACCATTTAATGACTATATGTGGCACAGACCTAATACATGGGCCTCACAGTTATTTTTTTCTTGTCTCATATGTTCATTACAGTGTAAATTTTCCTTTATACATGTTATTTTAAGTTTACAATCTTGTTCTGTTGGTCTGTTAATCCACGATAAAGCTTTTAGGCCCTATTCAAATGAGTATTGCAAAGAAGTAACCAAAATAATTTTTCATCTGAGTTGCTACTCAAATTGTATTTTAAAGTAATTCCACCTCTCTTACTTCAAATAATAAAGTACATCAAGATGCTGGGGGGCCGGCTCTGTGGCTTGGCAGTTAAGTGCGCGTGCTCTGATGCTGGCGACCCGGGTTCGGATCCCGGGAGCGCCCCGAGGCACCACTTCTCCCTCCAACACGACGCCGGGTCCCACGTACAGCAACTAGAAGGATGTGAACCTATGACATACAACTGTCTACTGGGGCTTTGGGGGGAAAAAACTGAATAAATAAAATCTTTAAAAAAAAAAAAAATATATCCTGATACTCGAATGGTACACCTGAAGCATAACTTGGACTAGGTGGCCTTCAGCCGCCAGGCCCATGGCCTT